TTCAACCTGAGAATCCAGCTGTAATAGACAGTGTGGAGAAATCAGAGGAACTGCAGGTTCTCAGCAAGACTGTGTTATCAGACAGTCCTGATTACACGGAGCCGGTAGGCAAGGCACTGGCTTAGCAGTCACTGTTCTCCCTGGTACTGCTCTTAATGACTAATCTCCACAGCATCCTTTCTCACCTCTCTGAGCCTTGCAGTTTAACATCGCAGCCAGCCTCTAGGAGTGAATTACGTGATGCAGTACAAACACTCATCCTCTCCAGCAACAGCTCTGCATACAGCTCTTGTTTTTTAGCATGGGCCTGGCAAAATATGGAGTTATTCCTAAAGCCCTTGCTCTTGCAATCATGCTACTAGCTCTTGGATCTCATTAAAAGCAGGAGAGCTGCAGATTCAGAGCATGCAAATCCTTAGCAGACTTTTTGGAAAGGAGAAAAGAAAAAGGACTTCCTCTGCAAAAGGATTACTTTCAGTATTTCATGTATCTGAAGCTTGTCTTGTGATGTGTAAGCAACGAAAGATTCTTCTCCTTGTTCTTACCACTCTTGTTTCTGCTGTTCTGTGTTTTGAAGATCTGTTTCGGGGTTTTGAGCAAACAAGAACCTGTTGGGTTTAAAATGCTACTCTCCTTCCAGTTGCTCAGCACCAGCTGAGCTGAGCACTACTGACAGGCAACTGTGGGGAGAAGTGAGCTGGAGGTAGAAACAGGTCATTTTGAAAAGGGAAGGAGGGAGAATATGCACAGGCCCTGTGTGCAGCTGGAAAATAATTGTGTGATATGGTAGTTCTGCTTATGTTTGTCCTGTGACATGGTAAGATATCTCCTTGCATTAAGTGATAAAGATCTGATTCAAGGCACTTGGAAGTCAGTAGGAGTGTTTGATAGACTCGGTGAAATGGGGTGTTGGACATGCCTGCAAGGAGCCTCTGATCTTGCTTTTGTGCAGAGCCAGACAGGTATGCTCTGACCAGGTGGTCTGGGGGGTGATGGCATCTAGGGGGCTGCCTGCTCTCCTATGGCTTCTGGGGAACATGCAGGATGAAAGCAGTAGATAAAACGAGGTAGACGAATGCATCCTAACACACTGCCCTACGGCCTGGAAGGAGGAGGCTATAAGAGAGATTGGTCTCCTCCATGAAGAAGGAATAGAACTGTCTTTCTCCTTGTCTTTTTTCTCGAGAGGAAAGCAACAGAAAATATCTCAGCGGTTTTCCAGGGAACATAGCTCTTAGGATGGCTGTAGAAAGTACCTGTAAGAAGCAGCTGTAAGATAGTATAGCAGAATTCTAAAGTTTCATAGCGTGCAGAAATAATGCTGTTTATTATTGAGTGCCATCTACTGACAATTTCTTTCTTAACGATTTACTTTCATTGTCACTGCTTATTTTAAATGCCTTGTGTAACATCTGTTAGTTTAGATGGAGCAGTTTGGAATTTTGGAGGTGAAGGATTAGGAGTTAGTATTTTACTGGGACAGCTGGCAGCTTGTATTGTTCCTTATTCCTTGAGCACCACTTCCCCTCTGCAGATCTGGATACTCTGCACATGTTGTTTTCAGTTCCCTTTTTCTTTCCAGCCGTTGCCAAGGTTCCTCCCATCTACTCTTCCTTCCCTGCCTGCTCCTTCCACATAGAGGGCAATTTTTGGCATCCCTAAGATCACTCTTCTGGCTTCCAAAGTAGCTCTAGTTGTGCTAGCTCCTTGTGCAGGAGGTTGCATCTGTGAGTTGGTTGCACTATTGCTGAGATCTCATTTCCCTCTCTCCTTTCTGTTCTTCTTCTTTCAAGACCTTTTCCAGCAGCTTTTGAGCAATAACTTTGAAAATATTTAATGATCACTGACTGCACTATATTACCTGCCCTAGAAGTATTTTTAGTTCTGTGATACTTGAATTAGCATTATTACAGTTTTTCATTTTTTATCTGTAATATTTCCTCCACCGTCAGTCCAATATATTTTGCAAAGATAAAAATAAATTAGAGGTGAAGAGTTATTGCCAAGGACAAGAGCTTGTGAAATTAAGCCTATAAAGGTATTGAAACCATTAAAAACACACTCTTTACAAAGAAAACACCTGGTACCTAACTCATTATAAGCAACTGAGAAAATGGGACAAGAGGCTTCCTTCTTACGCATTTCAGTTTTGCTTGGTTTCACCTCTGTCAGCTAGGCAACAGAATGAGGAAAATAGTAGTAAAGTCACCTAGTGCACAGCACTAATTTGATTGAAGCTTCTTTGACCATACCTTATATAATACCGTGTGATGGCCAGTAGCACCCAGGCACTCAGCTGCCAGTCAATTTCAGGCAGAAAATACCAAGCAGTGGAAGTGCAGACATTTGTCCACAGCATACTTATATTGTGGAACTCCTTCCCAGAGGATATTGCTGAGGTCAGACCTGTAACTAGGTTTAAAAGGATTAGACAGATTCATGGTGGGCTGGTGTGATATTTGCTATTAAGCATGACAGCCTGGATCTAACATCTGTTACAGAAAGCCCCTGTAGAGCTGATGGCTGGAAGGCTGCAACAGGGAAACTGCTGTTCTCTGCTGACCCTGGTTGGTGCTGCCAGACTCTGCCAGAGCCAGTGGCTACAGTGTCCAGGGGCTCATTCAAAACAGTGGTCTTCAGTCTGGAGAAAGCTTTTGAATTCCCATGGAAATGGCATTTTGCCTTAAGTGGTTATTTTCCTTAAAGAGTTCATGGATTCCCAAATCTCCAGTGACAAAACTGAGATGCCCCCGCCCCCCCTTAACTCAGTGCCTCAGAAAGGACAAGGTTAGGCTTGCCTGTTTTTTTTTCAGTAGAGACAGGTTTGCTGAAGTGAGGACTGAGGAATATTTCAGCCTTTCAGTGGACTTCTAAGCCCATATTCCACCTTTCATAAAAACACAGATCCAAACTAATGTTTGACTGACTTAAAAACTACTTAACAGTAATATGTTATGTGTCACTTGCATCCCATTTCTTTCATTTTAATGATTAACAGCCTTCTGTGCTGTAATTCAGTCTTTTTCCTCCCTTCTTGAATCAGGCAGCAAAAACTGATCAGTGACAGAGAGGGTGCTTGGTAAATTGCTACACATGGGTTCCTCTCACTGAAGGGCTGACAAGACACCAGCTGGGGAGAAAGCTTAATTGCATGGATGATCAAAGCAGAATGTATGAAGACAGGGAGACTGTGCGTGGGAGTGTGTTTTAGCAAGAGTCTATAGGGGAACATGTGAGTCTGGCACACATGAAATGACAGAAATGAATGCATGAGCTAGTACAAAGTAGCATGCTAACCAAAGGCATCCACAGATTAGCTTCAGCCCCTTCTCAGCTCTTGCCTAAAAGAGCTGTATTCCATTAGCTGTCATCTTCCAAACTACAGGCAGAGAAAAAAAAAGTGGAGGTTTGTTCTTTGTGAGTGGGAAAGGAGGAGGAGGGAGGAATCTCATGAGACAACATCACCCAGGCTGAACTGGAAAAGACAGCTCAAAGTAATGAGCTGGAATGGGGAGTAAGGACACAGGACACTGGTACGGTGTACTCCCAGGAATAGGAGGAATTGATGTGAAAAACTGAGAACTGAAAAAGCACTGAAGGCACATCCCAGCCCTTCCATGTGCTGCAAAATGCTGTACTGTCAGAGCTTTGGTTCGTGATTTGTGTTGTGCTTTGTTGCATTGCTTACAGTTTTCCTTTATATTTGGCTCCACTTTCACCACTGGCAGTATTTGAGGAGTAAGATACCTCTAAATATGAAAACAGGTGCCATTAAAATGGCTTATACACAGGCTTGCCCCATTTTAGCCCAAATCCATTAAAAACTTCATTACGGTTAAATTGACATAAACCTCTGTGCCACTGATCTTCAGCTGATTTAAGCTGCATCAATATAAACCTAGTTTCAATTGATTTAAGAAGAATCTAGGCAGAAATGCACTGCATTTCACAAACTGATATGAGGACACGGTCTTATTAAAATATTAAAACTTGTGCACTCAATCTTGTCATATTCAGCTGTGGGGTTTTTGAACTTTTACCATTTTGCGTTTTACAAGCCCTTACAGGGAGTGAAAACAAGTAGTTTTAAAGCAGTCAGGTCAGCAGCCTTTTGCTTCATCAACTGAATCTTTCTCAACCACAGAAGCCGTCAGCTTTTAGTGTTTTATAAAATTCAAAGGGCAGAAGAGAAGCATAATATTTTTTCTACTTACCTTACTCTGAACTCAGACTATTAGTGTTTGACTAAACCTTTTGGGTTGGTTGGTTGGTTTGTTTGTTTTTTTTTTTAAAAAAAAAAAAAAAAAAAAAAAGAACAAAACTGCTCTGTTCTGCTCTGTTCTCTGGCAGGAAGAAAAGATGGATTCTCAAATATGATTGCTCTCACCATTTCTCATGTACAAGGTCCGTATCTGCAGTCTGCATGTGTAAAAATTACCCTCTCCCTTGCTACTTTCTCCCTTCCTCAGGGATATGAAAAACAAGTATGTGATGCTAGAAGGGAATTTTCCCTGACCATTAAGGAGCTGGACATGTCTGAGCCAGTTGAGAAGTCTGTCAAATTGTCTGCGTGATCCCAGATAAGTCATTTAATCACTTTATGCTTCAGTTCCTCACTACAGTAGTTGTTTGATCTACATGGTCTGCTTATGGCCAGTTTGATGCAGTTTAATGTTATTGAAGCTTATCAAATATAACACCAGGAAGGCAAAAGCAGTTGTGGTCTTGAATTGACAGTGTGTAATGTTAAAAAGAGGATAGGATTTTATTGCCCCTCATAGGTTGGCAGTGATAAATTATGCAGACCTCTCCTTTCAGCCTCCCACATCTGCAATAGCTACAGTAGAACCTTAGTGCAAACACTGCTCTTATTTAGCACTGGAGCTGTCAAGCCCGTTTTAGCTTTCATGTGAGATTTCATGAAAAATAAATTTGACAGTTTCTCTAAGCTGAAAGGCCTCTAACTATGCCTCCTGCCTGCTAGCCATGGTACTACTTACATGCTTTGTGAAATTTGTGTTTCACATCAAGAAGGGTAGATGATGGAGCTACCTGGAAAACAAAACAAAACAAAACAAAACAAAAAAGCATGCAAATTAATTTTTTCTGTCTTCTCCCCTCCTCTATTGAGAGATAACTCAATTTTTTGCAAGTTCCTTAGCCAATAATGAAGCAAATCAGCACATTTGCTCTCACAGGTTGATATGTTATTGACTCTCTACATTTGATTTATACATTACCTGGATCACCCCTGCTTGGCCAATGGAAGGGTAAAATCCCCAGGGTCAAGAGGGGAAGCTGCTGGCCCTACCTGAGGCAATAACTGCCCCCAAGATGAAACCAGTGGGACAACTTGAAGGCTTAGCTTTAAAGTTAGGTTCAAGCATACTGGTGCATGTCCTCTAGAGACATGAAAAGGTTTTCCTGAGGGGCAAGTAGCAAAGGAGGCAGTTTCTGTCCTTTCTGCCTGAAATGAGTTTGCTTCTGCATGCTGTTGCTCACGTGCACTGAGGCAGTTCAGGTGACACAGTGTTAGAAGGCAGTCTAGAGGCCTTTTAGGCTCTATTTTATTATGTATATTGATCTCTTAATACATGATGTACAAAGTATCTGAGAAACAGATTTTACTAGAGCAAAAGACTTAGAAACACCTTGCCTTTACAATGGAAGGCAACAGAACACTTCAGAAAGTAGTATGTTGAGCTTGAGATTGAGGTGGCAAGAGGTAAGGGTCTGGTCTTAGGAAGACCATACCTTTGCAGCTGTCACTGATTTAATATTCTATATTGTTCATTTAAGCAAAAAGGCTGAGAGTTAAATGGAACTCTATCTTAACTATAGGAACCTGGTTTGGCTCTAATGAGAGACCTCATCACTGCAGCCAGACAGAGAATGCAGAAAACCACCTTCCCTGGAGACCTTAGGTACCTGTGCAGCATGGGCTAATACCAGTATGAAGTAGTGGTGACATATAGCAAAATCTTGAGGAGCAGTAGAATTTCTTTAGTTTGAGGTAGAGAAACAGCCATGGTACCATTTTCCCTGGCTGGGCATTCATCACATGGTTCACCCCATCTCCAGCTTCCCTCAGTCTAACCAGAACAAATTTCCTGATGTAGCCTCCTTGGCAGTTATACAGGAACCTAACAGTTCTGCCCTGCAGAAGCCTGTCTGTCTCTTTCCATCTAAAGATTTATATGGGCTTTGCTGGGCAATCTGATTCCTATTTCATTGCTTTAATTAGAATGCATACACTTAAGCATTAGTTGACTTACGGAGACTTCTTAGATCTTAGCACCACCTTTAGCCCATAGCCCCACTTTTTCCAAGTGTGATTAGTGATATTTATCTGTGAATATTACTTACTAGTAATATCAGTGAGTTCTGGTGATAATCATGAAAAAGAATAGAGAAGAATTTAAGAAATCCTGGCAGCAGAGATCAGTCAGCACCTTAACGAAGCTTATTTTGTTGAAAAGACTGAGTCTGGAGAACTACTCATGAGAGAAAATAAAACTGCTGCCTCAGAAGCAACACATAGGTATGAAAGAAAAGGATTGCTCTTATATAATTTGACACCCCACACAAATATACAATATACCTGCCATTAGTGCTTAGGAGTAAGCAAACTTTTTTCTAGTAATAATATGAACAGGCAGAGAGCTCAGTACAGATTTCAGTAATCTAAAAGTGTAAAATGGTAACCTGTGCTAAATGGTATATAAAGTTCAGATTTTTCCTAGCTTTTTCTTTGGGTTTAGGTGAGAATGCTTTCTTTTCCACCGTTCCAGAGGGCTTTACTGGACATTGGAGAAGTCCTTATTTGAAGAAATTGCAATAAGTGAACCTCTACTTAAACCCTGACTTGTCTCTCTAATGCACCTGCTAAGCAATACCAACTTCACCCAAATCAAGGCCTGGGCTCCTTGAAATAAAGGATGTACTCCTTCCCCATTCCCAACATCACCAAGGTCTGTGTTGCACCCAAAATGGGTTGGACAGTACTGGTCCAGGAAAGGGACATTGCCTTTGGAGTTACTGATGCCAGCTGGGACCATTTTCTTCCTAGGTAGAGGGAATAATAGGAAAAGCCATCTTATCCTCCTCAGTTCAAAAGGAAAGAAAACATTTTACCCGTATTTGTTGCACTTAAGCTATTCGACACAACATCCGGTAGAAGAGCACACGTCCCTTTCTTGTAATGTGTGCAACCTCTACTCAGTCAAATACAGGAGATAGAGGGGTTTTGTGTTTTCAGAACCTCTAAAATATCTGAAATTTCTTTCTCACACTTTGTAACCTCACACCCAGAATCCCTCAGATATGGATGCAGGTGCTGTTAGCCGACAGTGACTGTATGGCACACAGGACTTGCAGACCAAAATCTGTCCTAGCACAGGGCAGGTGTGCAGGTTTTCTGACCTGGCGTTGCCAGCTCTAGGATAGGAATGGCCTTTTCTGATGTGATGGAGGATGATCTGGCTTTCTAAATATATTTATTTAGAAATATATTTAGAATATTACTGCAGGGCCTGTATCCCTACGCTGCTGAGTTCTGGGCAAGCATAGCCAGAGCAAACCTGTGCTCTGAAGAGCTGATCATCTGATTAAGTCAAGGAATCTGAAAGACCATTAAGTGTAGAATGCTCACAGAGCTTTGTTAGCTCAGACCAGAGCCCATGGTCCCATCCCCTGCACTCCTGCATATGTATCGAATTCAAGGCAGTGCTACTTCTGGTCAGTGCAAAATGTCTAGTCCTGCCCTTCTTAGCAATTCTACCTTAACATCTCTCTCCCATTTTTCAACCTGAGGCTTTCAGTGCTTTCTTCCTTCAAAGTCCTGCTGTGCAAAGCCTGCTTTGATTCATATACCTAACTTTAGTTATCAAAAAATTAGCCTAAGCTTGTGGTTTAGGTCCACCTACAGAACCATTCACATGCCTTAGGTGTTTAAAAGTTACAAAGTGCCTGCCAGGATTTGTGCATACAATGGCCTGCTGCAGAGGAGGAACCAGTGAGTGTATCCATGTGGCGTGTTGTGAAGCGTCACACACCACCTCCCCTACCTCCACAGCTGGTGCTTGAACCACCTAGCTGCAGCTGAGTGGGACTGTGCTCTGTGTGACACCTATGAGAGGGGCAGAGCTCGTTAGCAAGAGCACTGCTGTGCCCAAGTACATCCAAGCTGCTTTTAGGCTCAAGATAGTTTAAATCCTGCCAGCTCAGGCTCAAGCAGAGCATGTCCTTGGTTGGTTAGTCACAGCCTGGCAGCTCTGCATGGCACTGCACTGAATGGCCTGCATGTGCCCAGCGATGGCCTGGAGCACACACCCAGACAGGAGGGAGAGAAGACGTTTGCTTTATGGGCCAGCTGGCTTCGAGAAGGACCTTTCCACTTGAGACAAACTACACAGATCACGAATTGAAAAGTAACACAAATACCATCCTCTTCAGAAAGGGCGACGACATAGAGGAATCACAGTGTCCTTTCCCAGGCAGAATAATGAGGCTATAGCCACAAAAGAATGAAATACATTTTTTTATGATCTTGATAATTCTGTGTCCTTTTTTTAAAGACCTCATAAAACAAGCAGTGAAGTTATAGTTTCTAATATTGATCAATGTGAAGATGGATGCCGAGACATCAGCTTACTACTGAATGTCCTCTTCATAGGCCATTAATTATCTTTTGTTCTTTTCATTGTACATCAATATGAGCTGAAGAATTGTAAGGACTGGAACAGGATCTGTTCTTATTACCTTTTGTGCTAACTGAATAAAACACCCTGGAACATTTCACCACAATTATTAGTCTTACTCTCCTTTTATTCTTTTAAATTATTTCTGAAAGTGTTATAACCTTCCTTTTCCTCTATTTCAGCATTCTTCAAATACACAAAGGGAAAACGGAGTGAAAGACCACCCCTAGTTTATTTAAAAGATGGATTTCATTGTAAAAACACCTCTTACTTGGCACAAGTAGTCTGTCTACTGGCAAAGCCAATTTTCCCTCCACTTTCGTAACTTGTAGTCTAAGACCAGATTTTAAATATAGTTAACTTTCTAGTAAGTTGCTACCATATGTAAGGTCCAAGACTACTTTTTCTTCACAAAAATAAAATCATGAAGAAATGCAGATTTTACAGGTCTGGGTTGCATTCATTACACTTTTCAATCAGAAAATGATGATTTAAAAACCTCGAATCCTGTTTTTCCCGTACCTTCATAGCAAAAATACTTTTACTTTTCCATTGGAGGTAACTTTTTATTTTTTAGGAATTCAAGACTGAAAGGACCTTCAGGGTCACCCATTCCAGTTCTATACTTCCTTTATGCAGCAATGCACAAAGCATCACATTTCTTTTTAAGATTCAAAATACCACATTAGTAGCTTAGGCTATGACTCAAGGAGGAACACTAAGTGGAAGATATTATGGAAACTTAATAGTGCCTTTTGTGAGTGCAAACTAATCAGATAGTTATCCACTTTCATACCTCTTTCACATTTATAAGTCAAGGAATTATTACCAGTCTGGTGATCTGATGTAATTGTATCACATAGTTCTTGCACTATAGAATTCTTTCAGGGCTTAGAGGTTAGCAGAATATCAGTAAGAATTAGAATAATAGAATTTTAGCAAATAAGTGATCTTTCACTCGACATTTCCCTTTGGATATCTTCTCCTTTTGTGACAGGTCAGTACGGCTGCACTGCTGAGTCACATACTTTCCAACAGCAGTCATTTTTCGTAATTGCAGAAATTCAGAAATTCTGCCACTCCAGCTGCTCATTAACCACAGATGGCCCCATCTTCAGCCAAGGGTTAGTTTGTTCAAAAGGTAACATCAGCTTATTGCAGCTGGGGAGCTGACCCCAAACCAGACAACCAGCCAATGGGAAAGCCAGGTAATTTCCAAATTCAGCACTCAGAAACTACTTCATCATTACTGCTTTTGCACCCTGTCCTTGCTTTCAGGACCATTCTGTATTATTAGAAATCAGCAGCATTTCACAGAAAGTTAACCAGGAAAACGCCTGTTCTTATTGATCC